CCCCAGAACCCCAAAACCCCAAAACCCCAAAACCCCAAAACCCCAAAACCCCATCTGCTCTAGATTAGATTGGAGGAAGAAGTATAGAAAACGAGCCGACTGATAGTTAATTATCTTAACAGAAAGTTTATATGTATCAAAAGTTGACGCAACTCCTCCCCTCTATAAAGTCCCTAGCCCACAAACTGAGCAAGAGACTTAATCTTGAGAAGATAGAATTGTATGTCTTGGATTGACAAGAGATATAATTTAGCGATTCCTTCATTTTTCTAAGAAGTCTAAGAGCTCTTTTGGATTCACTTTGAACCCTCTCCTTCGAAGTTCATATGCTTGAAGAGAATATCCTTTGCCTCCTCTGCCCACACTCTTCATATCACTGATGGTTAATTGGACTAAGAAGATGAGCAGCTGCAGATCTTCAATAGATATATCATCACACGATTTTATCTTGGCACTCATCTCGTTGAGAAGGTCAAAGTTGTATTGAGGAGACTCTCTTCTATTACGAGAAGAACTCTCAGTAGAATCTCTTAGTTTCTCTGTTTCTTTTTCTATAGATGAGTTACCAAAAATACCAAACGAAATGCTTTCTCTGATTTCTTCAGGTATCTCATCGTAGTACTTATGAATCTTTTCAGATATAAAATCGACTTTCTTCTTGTCAATGGAGTAGCTTCATTCATCTAATATTACATGTGGCATTCCCTTATTGAAGAAAGGCTTGTGAGGGTCATGAAAAGCTTCTTTGAACTGCATCCCAAAATTATCATTACGATCAAAGTCAGGCACTGGAGGGTAATGATGAGGGATTGGGGGATGAAAAGGAGGACTGAAGCTAATAGGTGGTGGACTATGATGATCTCCTCCGATAGGAGGTCCGTTTATGGGTCTTAGAGCAGTAAAAGATTGGTTGGTAGGCTCGCTTATATCTCAAATTCATCAACTAAGCCAATGTCTGACTCTAGTAGCCTTTTTATGATCCTCTTCTGGTCTTGGTTCCTTTTATTTTATCTTCCGTTTTTCTTTATCGGTTAGACTTTTCTCCCATTCGTCAACATTCATTAATTTGATTCTCTCTATTGTTTCATAATCAACGTGTTTGTCTCCTTTCTTAATTTTGTCTTCTAAATATTTGATATGCATCTTTTTCAGCGTTTCGAACCCTTGAAGTTGTAAACTTTCAAATTTTTCGAGCATGCTATCAACTATTTCATGATATCCCGCCTAGAAGATGTTAGAAATGCTCTAGAAAGTACCACCAGAGCTATCGGTCAGTACTCTAACTAAACAGAGGAAGTTTTTTATAAGGAAGAGTACTCACCTGCTCTTCTTCTTTATACTGATCATTATTAATCAGAGAAGTCCCCATAAAATGCCTCTTTTTGTTATATTCGTATTTTAATTTCCTGTAGTTCGACCTCTCGCTTTTTATGATAGATCTGACCCTCTCGTCAGTCTGAAGCAGGCTGACAATATCATGATATATCTAAATAAAATGAATGAGCCGTCAAATAGAAGAATTTTGAGAAAATTTCCTACTTCTTCATCATCAATTTTCTTAACTTTGACTCTATTATATTTGACCTTGGAAGAGGAGTTAGATCGATGATCTTCTTCCTCTTCGCTGTTGATCATCCTCCTAAATTTTTTTCTTTGCGAACTACTTGGTTCTTTTTCTCTCTGAAAATGATTATCGAAGCTAGAAATTTCAGGATAAGACGTTTTGGCAGAACCTATCCTCTGCTCACTTCGTATGGAGGTTTTCATTTCTTCCATCCCTTCGTACTTCTTGTAAGCTTCTTTTTCTTTGAGACTATCCGAATTTTCAAATCTGGAGCCATCTTGATCCTTTCTTATTCTTTTGAGGTTCCTTTTCTTGGATCCGTACCCACTTGAGGATTTGTTACTTTGAGAGCTGCTATCAAAACTGTTTGAGTTGTTTTTCATGAAACTATGAGGAGTTTTTAGAAGAGATAACTAATTAGATATGACAATCGCACCATCTTACTCTCGTCTCAAAATCTGAATTATAAAACTATCAATATAAGCTCTACTTGGAGGGGTTTTGGGGTTTTGGGGTTTTGGGGTTTTGGGGTTTTGGGGTTTTGGGGTTTTGGGG